CCACTTTTAAGAAGGCTGCACCGCCCCTGCACCTAATCCAAAAAAGGTTGACAGTTAAAGATTGGAAATCTGAAATCGAAATGAATTGTGGGTTGTGTCAATATGAAGAAATTAAGTTATAATGCAACAAGTTAATAACTACTAGTAAATATGCAACCACCTTTGAGCGATGACCTGCACTGGATAATTGTCTCAGAATTTAGATTTCAGATCTCCAACCGACAAGGTTTTTTGAAATAGGTACATTAATTTTTTTCCGATCCGTTATCCTAAAAAATCGTGCGTTTTGATTGGCTGTTTGAGCGGGTGGTATTTTGTCAGTATCTGCCCGGGCGCGCGGTCTGGTATCCTTTGCCACTAAACAACAACACAAAACGATTACAAAAACAAGCAAAAAAATACAGGGAAAAAATAATAAGTTATTTACCGTCCTATAGTCGGTCCGGATAGGGAAAAACTGTGCCCGAGGTCTTGAATATATGGACCGAGGCCTGTATATTCAAGACCTCGGGCACAGTTTTTCCCTGTCCGGACCTACTGGCCGGTAAATAACATATATATATATCCTACTTCTTGCAGTGCTGCCACTTAGGATTGGTGACCAGATATTCATCTCTCCACTCTTGAAACCATAATACACTTTAAGATGATCATAGAGGGTAAAGTATATCATAGTATTTGGAACTGCCATCACTCTGTAAAACAACCAAATCAAATATTTGATAATTTTATCATAAAATATCCCTTCCTCATTGCTTACTATCAATCACCTGACTTGTGGGAGTCAACTGTGGGGCAAACAAGTGGTTGACTGAGTGGGAAACTAGTGGATGTTAAGTCAAAACATGCCAAAATAAGTCCTCAAACTATTGTATTTGACTATTTCTACGATATGAAACCAGAAAACAAGTGATCAAAACAACCTCCAAGATTCTACAAGCCATTAAAAACGCAGCTATTACCAGAAGTGTCGTCTATTGATAGCAACCTATTGGTTACTGGCACAGCCTTTATTTTTGCATTTAACAGGATTCCCACTCTGGTACCTGCCAGCCAAAATGACTCTTAGGCTTGCTTTTTTGACCAGTGACATGTTGACCAATATGGTAAGTCAACACCAGGCTCGTCACTAGGACCTTGAAAGGGAAGGTTTGTTTTTCTACCTATCTTATTTATGCCATTTCTTGAAAAACTAAAAATATAGCTAAACATTATTTCATACTCCTACAAAGGTGGAGAGGGAGATTTGTTCAAACCATTGAACCACCCCTAGCGACAGGCCTGATCACACCCCCAGCCACTTTATGCACAGCAATTATTTTTAGACCTGCAACCTTCGTTGTAAAATACAATTTCCAGAATTCACTAATTCACTGACAAATTTTATTACTAACCACACAGGTAACCCAAGCCACAAAAAATGATTATATATGATCCCAAAGCCTCTCTAGCAGAATAGACCTTATTCGTGGTGTGACAATGTTTTCCCAATTCAGCGTGACAAACCTCCAGGGGATTCATTTTCTTTTGTTTTTACTCTTAGAAAAATTCATGAGTATCCCAAAGGATACAAAAGGAATAACGATGATATCCCGATGAGTTTCAAAACAATAGCTCTTCATTCCCCCAGAAGTTTGTCACGCTGAATTGGGAAAACATTGTCTTACCACGAATAAGGTCAATTCCACAGGAAACAAAATGTAATTTCAAAAAACCATTTTGTTTTTAATATTTGTTAGACTTACAATGTCGGTGGCAGCCCTCTCCATAAAGAAGTAATTCCTTCGAATCTGGGAATCTTTATAAAGGCATCCTAAACAAACAGACACAGATTGACTTACTATTTTGTACATGCATTCTGGTGTGGCCTTGTCTTCTGGCATGACAAGTGATGTTGATGATGATGATTCTGGTGTGACATCACAGACCAATCACAACATGCATAAGAATGAGTTGACATAGCAGCCAATCAAAGCTTATTATATAATCAAGCAGCCACACAAAGCTATTCTTAACTTAAAAAACAAATACTTCCAAGCTAGTTCTCAGCAATGTGGTTGGGAAGTAAATTCAAAACTTAATTTTTTACTTTTATTTTTAATATTGGAGACGGTTGATTGGAGATTTGAAATGCAACATGAATTCTTGCAATCTACATCTGACTCCTTGGAATTACTGTCCACATGTCCCATGGATTAGCTCTAATTATGCTTACCAAAGTACTTTTGAACTGCATGGGAGGTCTGTTGATACCGTAAGATGATTCAAGAACAGAGCATAGGCACAAGTGGTCCATCAGACCATTACAAAATATATAACATCGATCTATAAAACATAGCAATATTAATAATTATCCACGAGACATTTTAGTAGAGTTTGATAGGTCTCTTTCTCGATTCAAGGGTTTTTCTGGATTCTCAGACTTCCTCCCTCCACAAAAACTAAAAAGCTAAATTCCAATTTATGGCCTCCTAGTCCTGATAATGGAAGATATTAGAGTTAAACTCATTTTCCTTCAAACAATTGCTTCAAGTTAGGCATTTGGGTCAATACAATGAAATGTATAAAAACTGACCCAAGTGCAACAATTGTTTGAAGGTAATAGAGTGATATCTGCTATTCTTCGTTTACACACAACGTTATAGCCACCATCTTGGTTAAATGAAACAAAATAATTAGCAATTATTCGCCGAAGGTGAAGTGAATGTCGGGGAATATTTACCGAGACCCGAGTCTTCGAGCAGCGAGATAAATATTCTCCATATTCACTGAGCCTGAGGTGAATAATTGTTTTAGTATATACCAATTATTCAATAAAAACAAACAAACAGAAACTTTTAGATTGCGTGACAAATTCACACAAAACTTTTAGCAAAACTTTTAGGCCATACTTTGTTGCCTTTTTAGTATTGATAGGAATGGCATTTACTTTCATTTTTTCAATTTCTCATCGGAAATTGCAGCAAAGCAATAATTACCTGCAGATGCCATTTTGTTGCCGACTCAACATACTGAGATTCAGAGATGAATATCATGCAATATTCACCTCCAATTAATCAATGAGCGCTCACATTCTTAGTAAGTACACAAGTTGGTATATGCTAATTGTCAATAAGTTCTATTTTGTTATGCAGTATCAACCAACATGGCTGCCATGTTTTGTACGTTATATAACTCCCTTGGGAATGATTGAAAACCAGTGATTTATAAACTTATAATCAAACTTATTCAACAGCTGTCTAACAACATTATAAAGTAACTTACTAAACTCACTTTGAGTGATTTGCTTTGCTTGAGCCTGCAGTCTGGTTTTCACCACGTCCAGTGGTGTCACTGTGAAAAAGTATAATTTATATTATTTTCATAGTTATACCTTATATATTATTTTTTGATTTTTCTTATTTTATTTGAAGAGAAAAATCCAGCTTAGACTAGGGCTAGTTCAAATGGACTCCTGTTTTTTTGTTTTGTTTTGTTCTGCTTTTTGTTTTTTTATTTTTAGCAATATTGTCATGACATGTGGATGACATTACATCATCATGCTTATATCATCATAAGAAAAGCTAGAAAACATTTATCAAACTTACTAAAAAGAGAAGTAACTATTGCTCCAGAACCAGATGCAACCATTTGCTGTACAGGAGTTATTTCACCTTTAGCAAGAGAGCCCATGGTTTATCTCGTGCTATATATCCTCTTGCACAATTCGTTTTCTAAGTTTTTCAATGTATACGTCTAGAAAATTGCACATTTAATTGTTCAAACCAGCTACAACCCTGTAGAGCTACCAAAAGTGTTGATATTCTTATAAAAATAGGTGGAACACGTAGTTTTAGGGACTAGAAGTCCCATAATGTTGGATCAAGTCACACTTCATGTCTTTCTTTTGGCCGCCATGTTTTTCAATGCACAGGAATAACCCAGAATGCATCAAAGTCCGAAACTAAACAAAACCTAATAGGGAGGGGAGGGTTGGGGTCACTAGATGATGATGATGATGATGATGATGATGATGATGATGATGATGATGATGATGATAATAATAATAATATAATCAGCTCTTTTGAAAATCATCGCTGTATATTAATAGAATTTAAAGAACACGAGAAAAGCAGTGTTCCAAATGTAGGAACGGCACGACGCGCCGGCGGAGTCTTCTCAACCCTTCTCGAGATTTCTGCTAATCCCCAAGTTCTTTTTATAACCACACATAGCATAGCAAGAAAGTTTCTTCTTTCTTTATAAAAATACGAATGATTAGAGTAACAGTTATTTTCACACACGACCTGCTTTTACATGTAACACAGCTGTTATTTTTATGTCAAAGCTACAAGTAACTAGTGTCCGGTTGCGCAAGGTCGAAATGCATTCTGGGAGTCAAGCCAGTTGAGTGCCATTTCTAATGTGTATGACATGCTGTAATTCTCTGGTAAGTTGTAAACTAATAAGCTTCTTTATTTCCAGCTATTTTATAGGAAATGTTTCAATGATTCTTCTTGTGCTATAGTTACAATATAAGGATTTGTAATTTTTGATTTTAAAGAATGTCGACAAAGATTAGCGTGGACAATTTTCGTTCTGTAGGTACGAGTCACTGAGAGTCACTTGCACGAGACTAGGTTCAGAAGACAATAACGATTAATTTATTTTTTAATTGATGCGCTTAAGGTTATTTTAACTTTATCGATTCATATTCTAGACAATCACATAAGCAAACCTTTTCAGAAACTGCTCGAATCAGCTTTAAACGAATTTCTAGAAAGCAGAGAAGTTAGCGACTGCATGCTAACACGATACCGTATATGTCATTTGATAGCTTTGGTTGGACTGCTTTTATAGCTCGACCTTTGTAAGCTTATATGGCCGCTACAATTTACATTTGTCCAAAAAACAAAACCTTAAAACTATCAAAATGAGATACAATAGACGGATAAGGAGAAGAGGGTAGTAAAACGAGCTCTATTAAGGTTCATCTTCATCTTGCTTCAAATATCAGACCTTGTGGCATGGATATAAACAATCATTGCGGGGTGTTTATGCATGCTCGGCCTTTTCCGTGATTTACGGACGTGCCTCTCAGTTTGTGAGAATAAAATCTTACGTGAGGTTAGTGATATTAATATGCTCGATAGGTCTCATGATATATTTAACTATAGTTTTATATTCCGACGCTATTTGTTTATTTGTTTTCAATTCTGTTTTTAAAAAATAAGTTATAAATATTAACCTGCATTAATTCAGGGTTGTCCTTTTTTTTCAATACATCAAATGATCCACTTGTTACTGACTATTAGTTGGGGTCTATTCACATGTTATCTAAAGTTACAAGTTAAATTACAAATTAACTATTAGTTGGCTATAAGATTCTATTCACATGTTATCTAAAGTTACAAGTTAAATTACAAATTAACTATTAGTTGGCTATAAGATTCTATTCACATGTTATCTAAAGTTACAAGTTAAATTACAAACAAACAACACGCCCGCGCCATTCTACTACAACTCGAGTCGTAGCGTGTAAAATGAAGGTTACAACTTGCCTACGACAGACGCGAGCGTGTTGTATACAATACAGTAGTTGTAGGCTAAAATCGTACTGTCTAAATCGGCTTTATATAAATCTTCATGACTAGGGGTTTCTAGTTAGGACTGCATTAAAATTGGTGGTTGAATCACCTAAATACAACAAGTGAATAAGGAGAAGATTTATAGATCAATATTTAAAAAGTTTGTAACTATACTAATGCTTTGGACATTAAACCATTTCCTCACAAGGAAGCTTGAGAACCACAGAAAAGGCAGCTATATAAAGCTTTTAAGCTTTTACTGCTGTTTGCATTACTACGTGGCCACCCCACGCAAATTGCATCGTGTAGTTTACAATAGACTGCCGTCAATCAAACACCTCATTCTACTTGGATGTACTCAAACTCTTTGCCATTGCTTTTGGAACTTTCCTTCGTGATATCTGACTGAAAAAGTTTGATAGAAAAGCTATCTCACTGATCCAAATATGTATAAATGGCATTAACATAGTAGTCTATTCCAAACTACATGACTCGATTTGTGTCTGGGGTGACTGCATGGTAATGCAAACAACGGTAAGCTACTGTACACTGGCTGGCTTTGTCTGTGGCTCAAGCTTCCTCATGCTCAACAGCACCCTGCATTCATCCTTATACACAAGTGGAATCATGTATGACCAATATAACATTTGTRTAAAGGAAACTTAAATAATTTGTTAAAAACAACATGATATTGCAAGAGGATGAATGCAATTTTTTTTTCATTATGCTTATTCTGTCATTTATTCTTTGTATTTTCAGTGTTTTTACAGATTGGTGTAAATGTTGGTGACTTTTCATCCTCTGCAACTTCCACTTTATCCTGCATTTTGTTGTTTAAAGTTGGAGTACGCACTTCTTGTTTGACAAGTGAACAACTCATGACATTCCCTCTTGTCCAAGAAAAAAGAAAGTGTCTAACAGCATTAATACTTTCTGCACTATTCCTTCTGTTCCTTATCTATGGTCTTGATATCCAACATTTTGGCCACCTAAAACCAAAATCTAAGCAAAGACATCATTATAGGAAACAATATCTGCCAAATGCACTTCTTATTGGAGTTCGGAAAGGAGGAACAAGAGCATTGCTCCGATCACTGTGTCTAAATCCTAATATCCATACTGTGTCTAAAGAAGTTCATTTCTTTGACCGAGATGAAAATTACAAAAACGGAATGGAATGGTACAGGAAGAAGATGCCATTTGTATCAACTGAGGCTTCTGGACAAATCATTATTGAAAAGACACCTGCATATTTTGTCACTCCAAGTGTCCCTGAAAGAATCTACAACATGTCAAAAACTGTCAAGTTAATAGTAGTTGTCCGAAACCCCACACGACGGGCAATCTCAGATTACACCCAGTTGAAATCCAAGAATCCATCCTTGCCGCCATTTGAAGAGTACGTGACTACAGATAAAGCTCAAAAGATACTGAAGGTTAATGACAGTTGTGTTCATATTGGCGTTTACTGCAAACATCTTCAGAACTGGCTGAAGTACTTTCCATTAAAGCAGTTTCATTTTGTCAGTGGAGAACAGCTTTCAAGTGATCCAATACCTGAACTGCGAAACATTGAAAAATTTCTTAACTTAGATCCTAAAATAAAAAAAGATGATATTGTTTTTAACGAAACCAAAGGCTTTCCTTGTTTCAAAAAACGCATGCCACAGAATGGCTCTTTCAAATACTCATGTCTGGGCCCTTCGAAAGGGCGTGTACATCCACAAGTGCGACCTGATATTCTGCAATTACTAATGACATACTATAGTCCTTACAATAAACAATTTTACAAGATGGTTAACAGAGATTTTGGATGGATGTGAGTTGATTTCTCAGTTGTTGTTTTTTTGTACAAGGAGTCCAGTTGCACTGCTTACACAGTGTAGACTATCAATCAAAAAAATTGCTAAAGCATGATTCCAATGCTAGTTCAGTGCTAATCACTCTATTACAACATTTGTCAATCATCATTTAGCAATGAAAAGATTTGTAACTAACTGTCAATATTATTACAGTATTAGAGTGCAAACAATTAATCYGTGAAACACTAATTACTAAATAGTACAAAATAGTGCTAATTAAACAATAGAAAACAATGGAATTTACATGAAATTGTGCTATTTAGTATTACTAACGTTTCACGGTTATATTGTTTGCACTCTAGGTTTTATGTAATCTTCTTTTGATTGGGTCATTGATTTTGATTTGAGCCAAACCTACTCCAATCAATTGTAATATTGTATATTTAAAGTATATCAAAGGAATGTGATCTGGAAAAGAATATAATAATCAATATATGATTTTACTTTTTTTTGAATTTTGAACTTTTTTATTTAGTGCTATTTTTACAAGAACAAAAAATTAATGAGAAAAATAAAATATATAGTTTGTTTTGGAGTGTGATCATCTGGGTGAGTGTAGTCTTGAGAAACATGGTTGTTGGTGGTGACTGATGTTTCAACAACCTGAGCGGAAGTCATCTTCAGAGTCCAGTGAGAAAACAAAAGACAATCAATAGGTATAAATACCATCGGCTTTCTCTCATTTTTCACTAGACTCTGAAGATGACTTCTGCTCAGGTTGTTGAAACATCAGTCACCACCAACAACAGTCTTTCTCAAGACTACACTCACCCGGATGATCACACTTCACAACAAACTTTCAACACCTGGGTTCAAACCATTTACTCTTCAATATAAAGTTCCTTATTTTAGGGGACTTACCAAAAGAACAGGGCTGATCATCTACACAATGATTAGATATCTAATTATATTATTTTTACGGTTAAAGGTCAGTGAATAACATGTAAATGTGAATAACATCTAAATATATTAAAATATAAATAAACATATTCCATTAGTATTTTTACACAAGTGAATATAATAAATCCCACAGGCTTATTGGCCACAATTTATGTCTTCTGCTGTTATATTCACCTACAGGTGAATATGATGGGTGCATGCACACACTTCGTTGTCGATTTGTGCTGCTTGAAGAGATAAATAAAATTTGAACCAAAAAAAATACCCTCTCGGTTATTTATTGATTTCACTTGAGTTAAAAATACTAAAACAATTATTCGCCTCAGGCTCAGTGGATATTGGGGAATATTTACCTTTGCCGCTCAAAGACTTGCGTCTCTGACAGTAAATATTCCCTGATATTCACTTCGCTTTTGGCAAGTAATTGTTAAATATTATAATGATGATTGTATGATATACCGAGTAATATCATAATATATAATAAAAGAAGCATATTATTTTGAAAGACTCAACAAGTATTTTGAAGTACATGAACCAAGCATGAACAAGTTTCTGTACTTACGAGAGATAGACCCCTGGCATGTGATGGTAATCTGGGGGCCAAAATAGCAAAAGATATGTACATGAGAAATGTTTTTGAATCTCAGTAGAAGAAAAGCTTAGGTATTTTTTGACTCCTGGATAGTTGATTAGTGAAAGATGTTTACTACGGATCTCACCTAACTGTGGCGACACATCAAAAATTTGTCTCGCTACCACACCCTAATTCGTCTACTGACACGCCTACTTCGTCACTGTCTCGGATCTAGCACATTGCCAGTAAGGTATTCACTGTAATACATGGAAGATGGAGAGATTTGAATTTAAAATAAAAGTACAAGAGAGATGTGTTAAGACTTTCCTTGAAAGAAACCAGTGGTAATATCTCCACTGTTTTTGACAATTTCATCAATTATTAGGGAGCGAAACTCATCTGAAAGTGCTTTTCTGGCCAAATTTATTTATTTCCATGTTTCTACAATTTTACGCTCRAACACACTGCTGTGACAAAAGTAGGCGTGTCAGTACAAATTAGAGTGTAGTAGCGAGACAAATTTTTGATGTCGCCACAGTTCGGTGAGATCTGTAGTATATATTTGGCATGTTTTTGTTTGAGTTGTATACCTAGGGTGGATCTAGGGGTGTTTTTATGGACTCCTAAAACCATTATCAAACCCCCTAAATAACCACTAAAAACCTCCTAATTGGAAGATCGTAATTTATCGAACTCCCTAATTTGGACAAGTGCAAAACAAGGAACTTTTTTGGTATGTTAAACTGCTATCCTTGTGTTTGTGTAAAAATCTGGGATCTGCTTGTGTAATAATATTTATGATTAGTGTCTTCTCATGTACAACCATTACTGTAACAAAGATATGATACTCTCGGTAATAACATATGGTCTGAAATCGGAAAACTTTACGAACAAAATAAAAAAGTATTCTGAAATAGTCATTTAATACACTATAAAGTAAATCTACATCAAGATATTCTTTCTAGAAGCATTTCAGCAGCTGTTGTCAAGTCATTTAGGTCAGGCTGTTTTGGCATAACAAAAGGAGGATGATCTCTTTTGGCCTTAAAGAGCTCACTAGGGGCTCGGCATACAAACTCCAAGCATTCCATTGGTCTGGGAGTGTCTTCTTCTGGCCCTATAGAAAATTTAGCAGAATATAAATGAAACTACTGCTTTTTTCTGAGTAAGAACTCCAGATTCTGAGGCTGATGTGATTGGCTAAGATCAATATGTTACTGATTCTGCTCCTTCGTAATACACTGGCTAATTTTTTTGAACTTACATAGTGAATGATGAATTTAATTCTAAAACTTAATTGCCCTGTTTCACTATGACGTCACATCGAAACAATCTACTGTTTAAACGCAAAGGATCATGGTCGTTGGAGGGGGTCAAATCAACGCAAATTCACCAAAAATTGTTCTAAAACCGGTATCAATACACGAAGAGAAGTAGAATAGCCAGCAAATGCTCAGAATATTTTTTAGTACATATTAACACAAATTATATCTGAAAACCAGGCCATTTTAGATCAAACTGTTTCGCTAGGAGCAAATTTTGTTAAATTTTCTATTGGATTTGGCAATTCTATCCCCCAGATAAACAAGCGGTGACGTCATAGTGAAATAGGGCAATTAATTACACTTGGTTTTAAGAAAATTTGTAATACCTGGAAGAAATAAAGCTGGATCAAAATGGGTTGGTTCTGGGATGGTAGGTATCAGCCAAGTTATTATGACACTTTTTTGGGCAAACTCGTCTTGTAAAAATCCTTGTATTTGAGCAAAAAAGAGGTCTCCTTCAATGTCTTCTAGCGATACTATGTCACCTATCTGATACAATATACCCTGGAAAATATAAAATGTAATTATAGTAAAAATTGGTGAAATATCAAATTGATTAAACCAAATAACAATTATTATTAAACCTTGAAACAACCTCTGGGCTGATCTTACTCAGGATATGGCTAACAATTCACAGATAAAACCCTGAAACAACCTCTGGGCTGATCTAAGTCAGGGCATGGCTATCTCACAGATCAAACCCTGAAACAACCTCTGGGCTGATCAAAGTGAGGGCACAGCTAACTCGCAGATTGAATGCTGAAACAAACTCTGGACTAATCTATAGTCACACATGGCAGATTCACAATTGAAAAACTTTTAAAAGAGTGTTTGGTTTTTCGAAGGGAGGGAAACCAGAGAAGTGAGAGGAAGCTGGGGCTAGACCCAAAGATCTCTATTCATACGAGATGCATATTCCCAGAATCAAACGTAAGGTGATAGGCAAATGCATAATTTCCACTTCACCATCCTGACTGTTCTTTGAGATGTGATGATATTAGTGTATAGTTACATATCAAAAGACATACGTTTACCTTGAAATATATCCTGTCCGAAGCCACAACAGTAGCTACACCATCTGGAGACTTGTAAGGCTTTAAATAGATCAAAAATATATTCCATTATTATTTCGCATTTATTGTACACAAAATGCATCAAAAAAAATTTCGCAAAAATTACTATCTATAAGGAGCTCTTCCGTAGGTTCACCTCACRCGCACCACCACTACATTCACTATTTACGACATAAATTAAAAACTCATGTCGATTTTAACGAAAGGAGGAAAATGTCATTCTGCGGGCAAAACAAGTGCGTGTATTTCTATTCTATTTTCGAGGGAGGATTTAAACTCAATATAATTGGCAAACCTTTCTTTTCATCTTGTATATAGTTCTCCTCCCTCGTTCCTTTCCTCTTTCGCCACCTTTTCCATTCCAGTGTCCTTTCCTAGAACTAGCCCTTATCCTGGCCACTAGCTTCCTGCTTTCTTTAGAGCTCTGTCTCTGTGAGCGAGTGTTTGTACCCACTCGTCTAAGGTGACAACTGTTACATAGAACTTCACCATTGGCGCCTTTTCTCCACATCAAAGATTTATTAATTTTACAAGCAGAGCATTGAGCTTCTTGATCCAAAGGCATATTGAAGTTAAGATCCTTTGATTTTGAGCGTAAAATATTGTAAAAATGCTGTATAGTTGATAAGAAAGCGCTAAAAACGTTCGTCTATTTGAAAATTGACTTTTTCTTGTTTTCGTCCGCCATCTTGGATTGTTTTGCGCATGAAAAAAATCCTAATACCGCTGATTAGCTGTGAATAGAAAGGGGGAGGGGGAGGTGGGGAAGGGGAGGTGGGGAAGGGGAGTGGAGGGTGACTGATAGAGAGTTTTAGATTGACTTTTTTCCTTCCCCTAAACGACAAACGTGACCACATTTTCATCGTTTTCCTGTATTTTACTTAACCTCTTGCAAACTTTCATATCACACACAAATATTCTTTTGTTTTTCTACTACTTGGATCTTTTTGCGATTCCTTTTCAGTTATTTAAAAGAATTTTTCACTGATCAACTGACGTTACACGTTTGGACGTCAATCTAAAACTCTTTAATAATAAGTGAAAATACACTAGAGAAAGAGCTCAAAAAGTCGCTGAAAAAAATATGGTAGCCTATTCTCGTTTAATTTTCCAGAGCACTTATTTCCTACTGCGCAGGCTTGAGGCGAAATAAGGAGGAGGATATTCCCGCGCATCAAACTAACAAGAATAAAATCCTACACGTTATTAAAAGATTAAGAAAAGTTAAGTATGAAGCTTGGCTCACATTAGACTAGAAGTTTCGGTGGGGAAAAACAACAATACCCGATAGCTCCCGATAAACTAGCTCATTTTTTTTCAAATCGATGTGCGTAGGTAGAAATAAAGTGCAAAGAATTAGCTGTAGATAAGGTCTGGAGGCCGGCTAGTCTCTCTCCTACTTTGCCTTTGGGCAGGACTAGAACATTATTCTGCGTAATCCGTACATTAAGGGCGGTTTGATCTCAATAGCCTAGAGTATAGCATAGCCTCTCGGTACGTCATTCAGAATTACAGTCATAGTTAATAGTCGTAATCGACCGTAGGAAACTGAAGCTTCTTAAAAGTAGACGTGGGTTTGGATCCGTCATCAGATCTAGATAAAATCTAAGTTAATAAGACATCATCACGCATTTTCATTCGAAAATTTTCAAAACTGCATGACTACCTTGATTCGTATTTGCTTTATAGGGTTAGTATGGGAGTCAGGTTCGCTTGTCCAATCTGAGCAAAGGTTATATGAGATATTATTCTGCACCTCTCGCTGTCTCAGCATCACTTCGGCCTACGGATTCAGTAGCTGTCTTTGATCAAAGTCAAAGTTCTGAAAAAGGTATTGATTTGTCGTTTCGCAACTTGAATTGCGTTACTAAGACACTAGTGAGCCACCTTAACCGGCATGAACACTCGCAATTCTGCATGTATGCATATGGTTCTCTGATTTTCCTTTCTTTGCAAATATGTGACTGAGTTAGCCATGCCCTGACTTAGATCAGCCCAGAGGTTGTTTCAGGGTTCTATCTGTGAGTTAGCAATGCCCTGACTTAGATCAGCCCAGAGGTTGTTTAAGGGTTCAATCTGTGAGATAGCCGTGCCCTGACTTTGATCAGCCCAGAGGTTGTTTAAGGGTTCAATCTGTGAGTTAGCAATGCCCTGACTTTGATCAGCCCAGAGGTTGTTTCAGGGTTCTATCTGTGAGTTAGCAATGCCCTGACTTTGATCAGCCCAGAGGTTGTTTAAGGGTTCAATCTGTAAGTTAGCAATGCCCTGACTTTGATCAGCCCAGAGGTTGTTTCAGGGTTCTATCTGTGAGTTAGCCATGCCCTGACTTTGATCAGCCCAGAGGTTGTTTAAGGGTTCAATCTGTGAGTTAGCCGTGCCCTGACTTAGATCAGCCCAGAGGTTGTTTCAGGATATCGATAAATAAAACTGAACTGGATACCCTTGTTGAATTCATGGTGAAACAACAGCTCGATCCGTCCAGAGGCGGCTCAGACTCTATTCTCATAGCAGTTTTTTATCTTTTATTTTGCTACACTGATTCCCACGCAGCTCACATTGACTATTTATCAAGAAGTTATTTTGTTTAGTGTTCTTCCTAAAGCTCATGGGCAACTGAAAGTGCGCGTCTGTCGCCATATCAAAGTAGAATTAGTAGAAGTTGATTTTTGTGTAGGAAGGACACAAAGAATCCGCAGGAAAGACCTTGAGGTAAACGCGACTGATTGAAACATGCAATAGATAAAGCCAAACCTAGCTATATACTCAAATTGGGTCCAGGGAACAATCTACAAGAATAATGATTAAATCATTTGAAAGTCGTGTAGTTTGGAATTCACTGCTACTACGAACAAAAAATTAACGAATTGACGTCATTCGCTGGATTTCTGGAACCATCTAGTCTGTCTTTTCTCTTCGTGCTTTTTTTATCTAAAGCCAGTTAAAATGCTGGATTATCGATATCATCTCATTTATCTARTAGATCACTTATTCTTCTCTTTCTTTCCTTTACTTTACTCTAATGATTTTATGCAGCAAAAAGAAAAAGAAAAGATATGGGGAGAACCTGGCTGAAACATGAAATAGCTTCCCTTACAGAGCAGCTTACCCAGGTTACCCAGGAATTCTTTCTTTTTTTCTTTCTTTCTTTCTTTCTTTCTTTCATTCTTTCATTCATTCATTCTTTTTTTCTTTCTTTCTTTCTTTCTTTCTTTCTTTCTTTCTTTCTTTCTTTCTTTCTTTCT